TGCGTTTGAACGTTGTTGTAATGACATGATTCAGTTTCTGTGGATGGTCTCAGGTCCAGATCTAGTTGAACTCGATAAAGACGTCATCTGGCCAAACTGGATGTAATTTTTTATTGTAAGAGATAATGCGTGGTGCAATGGAATTAATCAGTATAATGGCGATAGAAGCTGGTTGTAAATTCGATATGTGTATATTTGACATCATGTTGAATCACAGCTATTTTCCTATTATGAAATATGTACAAAAAATAGCGTATAAGGAATTATGCTCGAAAATTATTTCTAGCTCTCCTATGGTCCTAATTAAGCTTTCCTAACAATGTTGTAGCATAGGCATTTTGGAAATAAGGAACAAAATCATGTTCTGCAAGTCCATTTCTAACTGAATCAAAGCACCGTGCAATTAACTGATATATTTAATCTTGACGTATTCCGAAGACATTTTGTACAACTCGTTCAGTCAAAAAACCGTCTCAGGAATTGACCTATAATAGAGAATATGATCATATAATTTCTTCTAATGAAGTATGTAGACCAATGCCAGTAACATTTTCAAAATTCGGTAGGACAAACATTCGTACAGAAAAACTCCCCATTCAAGATAGTATGATAAAGTTAGGTACAAAAAAATGGCATTTCTAGGCGAGTAAACAGGCTTGTTTTAACTCTCTCCTAATTGCTTCGCTTTTTAAAGCCACTGTAATGAGTATCCTTCTTTGAGGGTTACCCAAGTGAAGATAAAGGGTGATGAGACTTCCTTAATTAATTCCTTCAGTTTTCTTTAATGTCTAAAAACTATATCTGATCGGATTTGCAAAAACATGCCTCACATGTTGCAAGATTGACAGTCAGGTTCATGCCTTGATAGAGCTCAGATAGTGGGTGAACTCCCTTTAGTTGGAGGGTGGTTGAAAGTCCAAAGTAGTAGGCTTAGGAGAGGCTGCAAAATCCTGATGGCTTGGGTTAGGAGCATCACCCGCCATCAAGCCAGACTCACCGATAAAACTTCAGAGGGGTTAACGTCAAGGGTAGTGCCCGGCATGCAGCCCAGCCACTAAGCTATACAAGGGTGGGTTGCAAATGGCTCTGTGTGGAAAACTCAAGGGGTGGGGAGGGTATGTTATTGGACCCCTTGTCTTACTGGCAGTTTTCTATGAGGCTGGAAGGGACTTGTCTTATTCATCTTGTTTGACAGCCTGCATGGTGGCCAGGCTTGTACCCTTTCACACCTTAGCCACTGTTGGTTGCTGTTGGTCAGTTGGTTGCAGCAAATCCATAAAAATAGCCCATTAAGATTAGTTTGATGAAGGTAGAAGTTCTCCCAACAAAGCATAAGGATGGAGTATGCAGTCATGTAAGGAGAAATTGTAAAGAATGTCAGAGGCGTTTCAAGGGTTGATAGAATGGGGTTGGTAATATTCCTCAGTTATTGTCGAGACTCACCGAAATCAGGGGGTACTCGAAACAGTTACTGAGCAGCTATGAAATTTTTTGCAGTGGTCTTTTTGGTTTATCTAGCCATTTGTGCCGATGCAAGTGAGAGAAAGAAAAATTTCAAACAAATTTTGGGCAAGTTGTCAGATCTTGAGGACTTGATAAAAAAGAAACAAAACTGCTGTAGAGTGGGTAAGGTCCAGAAGATCGTTTCTGTTGTTTACATTTACTTTTCATCATCGCTTTCAGGTTGCCTGAGGGTTTGGAATTTCAGTTGGATAAAAATTGGTCGTTAAAATGATGGCTTGGAATATCCGCATTTATCTACTAGTGACTGATTGCTTAAGCTTATCTTTAAGTTGGTCTCTCCTCATCAGTACGGTGGCCTATTGGGGCAAAACATAACTCAATTTCTCTTCTGAAACACAGTAGTGTTTTCCAGAACACAAAGAAATCTTCTGAAACACAACAATCTTTTCCAGAACACAACGGAATTTTTTGATACACAAAAGCAAGCTAAAACACACCAAAATCAAAATTTCAAAGTACAGGGCCGGGTTGTTCAAAGCTTGATTAAGATAACCCAGGATTAGTGTGAAATTTGATATCAGATTTGAAAGCTTAAAAAAAGATCTAGCGTAATTTGTTTGTCTACAATGTTATGACTGCATGCTCTAAAGAGAATCCAGAAAATCATCCCAAACTGGCTTTTGAACAAAGGAATTGAAGAAACCGTGAATAAAATTTAATCTTAGGTTAGCGCTAATCAGCTGTCGAACAACTGGGCCCTGGTAACTAAACCTGTCGCTAAAAGCGTCCAGAACCTGGAACTAGCTCTAGAACTAGTTTTGAACCGTTCGTGTAGTGGATTTGAACTAAATTGACTTCTTCAAGTTCAGTAAGCGATCATCCAGAAGAAGAAAGCATAATCTCGTATCAGTTTTCAAGAGGATATCACTGAATTTTTAGTTAAGTGTCATGGCATTACGATGTGTGTACGGATCTGATTGATAAAATACCAGTTGTGGGTTGAAGCATTTGACTTACGTTGTTCAGGAACAAATTATGAATGAGCTAAGAGGCCCAGGCTACCAAGGTGGATATAGAAGTATGTAGCATACCCCTACGACTTAAAAATATTCAAGTTCCTAGACATGTAGTAGCTGAACTTATGAGGGAAATGGATCCAGAAGGATGTGAGCAGAGGAAGGCAAAAATCCTCGAAAGAGGAAGTTACTTCTTGTCTAGTCTAAACTACACATGGCACGTCGACGGATACGACAAATCAAAGCCTTATGGATTTCCAATTCATGTGTGTAGTGATGGATGGAGTTGAAAATAATGTGGCTAACAGTCACAAGGTCAAACAACCATCCAGAAATTATTGCCAATGTCTATTTGAACTGTGTTGCAGGGCTAGAAAGCTGTCCAGTGAAACTGAGGACTGACTGTGGAACAGAAAATAGCGTGATGGCAGCTGTGCAATGTACATATCAACAAGATGCAAAAGTGCACAAGTATGGGTAATCTCTGGTGAACCAAAGGATTGAGAGCTGGTGGGTATTTTATAGATTGAAGAAACAGTTGTTTTAAAGCATGTAGGAAGTGGCTTGAGCACGAAATAAGTGCTTGAGTGCTCAAGCTGCTTCTTAACCTTTAACTCCAAGATCTCACTATTAATTCTCCTTAGTGTCTGTTATTCAGTTCTTGTGATGTTAGTTTTGAGAATTTGTTATTGCATCAACTTGTAATCCACTAATTGATATTTTTGTTTATTCTTGTCACATGACTGCTTGATATTGTAATGATATTGTAAGGAGAAATTCTGTCTTGGTCACTCATGGGAGTTAAAGGGTTAAGTGCTTTACAACAGAACAGAGCACTGTCAAGGCTTCTCTATTTGTTTTATAGTAAAGAATCCATTAAATTCTCCATGCATTGCTTTCAATTTTCAAAAAATCTTAAGGTGATAAATTATGATTGGTCCTTAATAGGGGCATTGTTTTTTTAGTTTTTGGTACTAAATTTATCTTCCATCTAATTTTGCCCACTCCTGTTTGTTTCACAGTGCCTCTTTTGAGTCAGTTTTTGTTTTGTTTTGGAGGAGATCACATTAATCCATTCTAGATATAATGCAGTTGGTTAAAATGCTTTCCTAGTGTTGATACAGTAAAGATATTGCAGCACTTTGTATGGCACTTTTTATAAACAAGGATGTCCTCTGAGATTTTCTTAAGTTCATGGCTTAGCCTTTTGTGACTTTGAGAGGAGAGTGACTCTTAAATGTAGCATGCATTTCAATTGAGTATATAAAGTAATCATAAAAGACAAGGGCAATGAGCAACTAATAACTCCAAATTAAAACAAAAATGAAAACAAAACATGTCAAATAGAATGAAACAATCAAGAGCTTCTTCAGTTGGTGATTATTTCCTTTATTCTTGTGACCTTCCTGCTTGATTCAGGGTTAATATTGTAGAGAGAAATTACATGCTAGTCAGCTCTTAGTGGTTAAAGAATGAAGTCATGATTGGGTTAAGTATAGCATCTGACCAGGTGAGAGATTGTTGCATGTTAGCTGAACCACTCATAGAGCAAAGTGAAGCAATACCAATGCAATAGATACTAAGTTGAAATTTCGTTATCTCACAGGACACCTTCAGTTAGGATTCAAAAGTGTGGTCTTGAGGTCTTCAGTCTCTCCCTAAAATGGAGTCACAAGATTGGATTACTTGGAGGCCATGTTACTAACCTACTGAAGCACTTCCTTCACCAAGATCTGCCTTGGCATGAAGCTCAATGGGTTAACCAGGTCCTTGGGAGTGGATCAGGAAGCAGACTCACTATGTGCCCTCATTGCTGGGGACAGTTTCAGCAGGGTGCAAATGGGTATCATTGGCAATGGACAAGATGGTTGCAGTTCTCCTGATTCCAGAATAGGATTTGGTTGAGGAGGATCAGGATACAAAAATGCATAAGGAAAAAGCTTTGTGGAGGGCAGACAATGGAGACAAAAATATCAATGAAGGTGTTTGGATACTGAACTGCTCTGCTCAAGGAAAAAGCTGCCTGCAACATGGAGTAATGATCATGCTCTAATTTCAGTAAAGGGATTTTAACCCTTTAACTCCTAGGATCCAATTGTCAATTCTCCCCTCTAGCTGCTACACGTTTGTCTTTAAGTTAGATATGAGGATTTGATGGTAGATCAAAATGACCTCTACCTGATAAGTTTGGGTATTGTCATTACCTGTTTACTGGATAATGACTGAATATTATAGGGAGAAGTTACTTGTTAATCATTTGTGGGAGTTATAGGGTTAAATATGGGTTTTTGCTGTTTAATGATGGGAAAATAAAAGTGGATCACTGAATTAAAACAGGTTTCTCTTTGTATTGTAGTTACACAAAGGAAAATCTGTCTTTCTCAGGAGATTTATCACTTTTACTGTCACTAGTGGCCATTAGGTTACTTCTCCTTTAACCCTTTAACTCCAAGAAGTGATTAACATGTAACTTCTCCCTATAATATCCATAAATTGTCCAACAATCAGGTAATGAGAATACTCAAACTTATCCGGTAGAAGTTGTTATCTTGATCTAGCATCAAACCCTCATAACTAACTTAAAAAGAAATGTGTGGCAGCTAGATTGGAGAATTGACAATTAGATCTTGAGAATTAACAGGTTAACATTTTATCCACAGACTGTCTGGTAGTTGACAATTTTGAATTAAATCAAGTTTTTAAGTGAGGGCCAGACACAAACACTTAAATTACAGAAAATAATTGGCAGACCATGACAATAAGTGACCAGTTCTATCGCCGAGAGAGGCAGGGGCTGAGATGATTTTTTGGGGATCACATGGTTTTCAGGTGAATGGTGAGGGGATCTGTCATTCACAAATAGACTATAGAGGCACTGTAGAAAATGAGTGTTTCTTCTTTTGTATTTTTCCCATTCACCCCCATTCCCTTCTTTAGAACCTTACCATACAAGCCACATTTACCTGATAGGAGTTAATCATTGAAATTCAAGTGTTCGAATGTAGGAAAAATGCATGTAGCCTGATATTCCATTTGAATAAGCTTTGTTGTTGTGCAGCTGTAACCTGATATTCCATTTGTATAAACTTGGTTGTTGTGCAGTGGTAACCTGATATGTCATTTGTATAAGCTTGGTTGTCATGCAGCTATAGCCTGATATTTCATTTGAATAAGCTTAGTTGTCCTTAGTTGAGATGACTTGATATTCATTATCGTGAGTACAATTCAAGACCAAATTTTGTCAAGGATGGAAACACACCTCCAAGGGCTTCTTTATTTCAACAGTTACAAACATTACTTAAGACATCATTTTCATAAAAAGTTCTCAATCTAATCTAGTGCAGCAGCTCCTGAGATGATCTCAATCAATTCCCTTGTAATCACAGCTTGGCGAGTTCGATTGTATGTCAGAGTCAACTTGTCAATCATTTCACCTTTAAGAGAGATGGAAACAGTAAGTAAACTTTGATGAGGGTAAAATTCTTTTGCACACCCTTTTGGGGCTGAAATACTCATCTGACCAAATCACATGAACAACAGTTATGAATATTGGAAGATAAAACTGATCACTGAATGAGCTCTGTAGAGCAAACGCTTCAAGAGATATGGGGAATTTTTACAAAAAACTGTCACTCGGTTGCAATTTTACCATCCAGTATCTTGGATGGCTAGGATTACAAATCATTTAGAAGAACCCAAATTTGATTGATAACACGTTATCCAGCACTTTAGAGCAATTTGCAATTGAGTGTTTGAAAATTTACTCACCCGCATTTTTACTAGCACTGTCCATTGCAGTCATTCGAGAGCTCTGCTCGCTACAGGCTCCCTCCTTCATGCCATAAAACAAAAGACTAGCCAAAGAGAACTCAGAGTAGTTCTTTATCGCATCAGAATCCAAGTCATCATAGGTACTCAGAGTGTCTAAGAATCCAAAATCCACAAGAAAAGTTAAATTTTAACCCTTTACACCCTAACATCAGTAGCCATATTCTCCTTACAGTTCTCCATACATTTTTTAAGGTGCTGTTAAGGAGAAATTGTTAAACAATCAAGAGCTTCTTTAGCTAGTGATCATTTCCTTTGTTCTCCTGACCTCAAGTGATTCAGGGGTAAAAATGGAAGGAGAAATTAGACACTAATAACTCCTATGGGTCAAAGAGTTACTTGCCCCAGAGATACAAGTAAAGCTACCAAAATGTAAAACTGAGAAGAATGACAGTTGTTTGAGAAAATTCTTCACATGATAAACAAATAACTAACACAATTTTCCTCACAGCTACAGTGCACATTTCTATTGAATAAACTGCACCAAAAGAAGCTTAGGAAAATTTCGGGCTTGGACAAGGGTCACACCTGTGCCTGCCATATATTGGTTGGGTGCTAATGCTGATTGAATGACAAAGCCAGTTGTTGGAAGTAAGGAAAATTTTATTCAACAGATTATCAGAGCAAAGCATGTTCTTTACTTTTAGCCCAAGATATCTCAAAGAATAAAGAGATAAAAGAAATTATGGCCACAGTCTCATAATCTGCTTGCTTTGGTCTCTTGAATTCACCCTTTCATTCCCAAGATATCATCACAAATTCTGCACACTGTCTGCCATACAGTTCTAACGATGTTAGTTTAGAGAATTTGGTATTGGATCAACTAGCAGTGCCCTTGTTGATATTTTTCTTATTCTGATCACTTATCTGCTTGATACTGTATGGATATTGTAAGGAGAAATTCTGTCTTGGTCACCCACAGGAGGTATAGTGTTAAGGTAAGTCACACTTTGATCAATCAGAATGCATGATTGTTTGCATTATAATCACTCACACAATTGAAATAAATGCTTATACTTGATTATGATTAAACAAATTCATGTAATTCTCCTTACCTCCTGAGACAGAATTCAAAGTATCAAACGAGTGAAGTGGTTTTGTCTGAGTCTTGTATGAAACCACTGACCTGATGAAAAAAAACCCACTTTGTTTGTCTTTCACTCACAAATACTGAACTGAAAAATTTCTCATATTTGTCTTGTACCATTAAGAATATACATGCAGGGCTAAAGGTAAGAGATTAGGCTACCAGCTGAAATTCAAAGTAAGGCTGCTCAAAGATGGTGCCTCACAGAAGGTGCTTTGCATGTTTTTGTGAAGGGATCACCAGCTGAAAAATCCAGCTGATGATTACCACATTTTCATACAGTAAATTTTTTTTTTGGCACCACACAACAATCCTGAATATGTACAACTTACTTAAACCAGTTATAATACATCTCCCCCATATCATACTGGAATCCACTATCAAGGATTTCCTGGGCAATGAAGGTGGCTTCACAGAACTGAGGAGGCCTTTTACCAATCTCTGAAAAGCTCATCAGCAAGTAGTCACCTAACAAACAATAATAAATATATTTAAAAAGAAAGCTAAAAAGAAATCTTTAGGAGACGGTTTATTATGAACAAAACCAATAAGAAACAACTTCCCCAGTCCTTAATATATAAGGTACAATATTAGTTTGGAGAATTTGGTATCAGATCAATTGATATTTTTCCTTATTCTCATGACTTGTCTGCATTATAGTGTATAGATATAGAAAGGAGAAAGTCTGTCTTGGTCACTCACAGGAGTTAAAGGGTTAATTACCTCTTTTTAGTTTGCTATAAAGACTTCACTTATGAAAATTGCCACAGATAGTGCTAATTTAACCCTTACACTCCCAAGATCTGATTAGTAATTCTCCTTACTATCTGCCATACAATTCTTGTGATGTTAGTTCAGAGAATTTGGTATTGGATCAACTAATAATCCCATGATTGATATTCTTCTCTATTCTCATCACCTGCCTGCTTGATATTGTATTGATATTGTAAGGAGAAATTCTGTCTTGGTCACTTGTGGGAGTGAAAGGGTTAAGCAAGTTTGTGGCATGTTCACCAGATGCTCTCAGAGATAAATCACAGCCCTGATTTGTTGTGGAAATTTTCAGAAAAAAAGGTACAGCTTATACACTGTTTCCTGCTCTGGATTAATCAATAAATTCCTTGAAATTCTATCCACTTACCATGTGTTCGTAGAAACAACTGCCTTGCTTTCTCTCCACATGCCACAATTTTTGTACTGTCATCAACCTGCTTTTCTCCCAAAGCAGCCTTAACAGCCTTCACCAAGTTAGAATGGATCCCACCACACAATCCACGATCAGATGACATCACAACTATGAGGTTTTTGGGTGTTGTCTTGTCCACATCACTTGGTTTGATTTCAACTTTATCATACAAAGCTGAGGAAAAACATGTAAGCCGTGATCAGATCAACAAAAGCATTTGTTAACATGTTCATGTACAAAAATTCACACTGTTTCTCTATCCTCTGTTCTCATTTTCAAGAACAAGATTGTGAGTGGAAGTGAATTCAGTTAAATTTACATACCTGAAGCACCAGCTCCATAAATTCTTGCGGGACGTAATTCCCTCTCTGCTTTACCAAACTTGGCAGCTGATACCATTTTCATGGATTTTGTAATCTTCTGGATATTTTTCACACTCCTTAATCGCAAGGAGACTAAATTGAAAAGCATAATATTTTTAGAGTATGCGGTGACACTATGCAGTTAACCCTTTAACTCTTTTGAGTGATCAACAGGTAACTTCTCCCAAAAATATCCTCCCATTAACTAGTAAAGATGTGATGAGAATACTCAAACTAATCAGGTAATTGTTATTTTGATCTAATAACAAATTCTTGTTACTATTATCCAAGGAAATGTGTAACAGCTAGAAGGGAGTATTGACAATCAGATCTTGAGAATTAAATAGTCATTTACAGTATTATTAGATAAGATTTCAAAGTGCAACAAGCAACTGAGACCTTAAAATGAACAAAAATAACACATGGAAAGAACTAAGAAAACTAGACATGTCATAATTTCTAAAAAAAAAAACTGTGGCATGGCACTCCACCTTAACTTCTGATATTTATACATTGATGTTTGACAAATTTCACATCTCTCCGGACAAGGAGGCGTAATATTCCTACGGTGCAACACAAATTGCTTGTTTGTGATTACTCCCTTAGAAACATCTGTGAAAGAGATTTCATTACGGGAAAAATCTTTTTTTCTTCTTGAGAACTTAAGGCTCCTTATCCCTTTATTGCCGTAACAATCAACTTCAGCAAGAACACAGTTATTCTCGACATCGAATCGCTCGATCAACACAAACTTTGTGAATTAGTTTGATATTTTAACTTACTATCTTTCAATGTTGCCATGTTCCTTACGGCTGGACTGCAAAAAAAGAACAGAAAAATACAGCACTCAGAAAAATCTGGAAATTGCTTTATCTGTTACCCGTAAAAGTTCAGTTTCTCACCATGATGCTGGCCTAAAAACAGCTCCTCGAATGAAGACCGTGTTAGCCGCCATCTTGGATGTCTGTGCGTCCCTCACTCGGTCACGTGGGTTTATTGGACCGCTGACTAACCAATCGCTTTACAACACAGAATATCATTGGTCAAAAATTAGAATTTGATGACTTGACCAATTAGAACTTAGTTAAGAAAATCAAAGTTTGTTATTGCAGGCTCAATTAAATTGAACACGTTTTGTATTTTCGAAAATCACAAGGAATAGGGGTGAAAATGTCTGGTCGGGAAGGTAATTTTTAGATTAAGTTCCGACTTCTTTTGCTGGTATGTTGTTAATTGATTCTATTATGAAGCCTACTGATCTACAATTTTTCGCAGGAGGAAAGAAAAAACCACTCAAACAGCCCAAGAAAGAAAAGAAGGAACTGGATGAGGTACAATTTTGCATGTTAGGAATCGAACGACAAATTCGTTAAAATACTTAGGCGTGCAGCTGTTATAATTCAATTTTATCCCTGATTTGAGTTGTATCTGTCTTGAACTTTTTGTTACTTATCATAAGATACGCTGCCTTTCCATGGTGAGGATAAATGTTAGACAGCTCTAGGGCTACACACGATCATTCTTTGACTCGCGCTTTTCTAAGTTAAAGAGGTATTTAATGAAAGGCTGTTAGAGGGCAGATTGATTTCTTCATAGTCTATGGTGCACAAGCAAAAATTTGTTTTTAAGACTATATATATTTTTCAGAAATACAATAGACTTCGTTTTCCTCTCGATCAAAGCTTCTAGTATGTTTCATGCAGAAGGGCTGTGGGGGAGGGGGTAGTGGGATGAAACTCATAGGGGGAAGGGGTTGTATGAAGGTCTGTTGTAGAGCCTAAGGAGGTATAATGTCAAGAGATAGTCATGGTTTGGAATAGATTTTCAGATTAACCCCTTAACTCCTATCAGTGACCAAGAAATAAGTTCTCCTTACAATTTCAATACAACATCAAACAGACAAGTTAGGAGAAACATCAACAAGGGATGATCAGTTGATCCAATACAAAGTTTCCAGAACTAACTTCATAAGAATTGTATGGCAGACAGTGAAGAGAATTACTAATAAGATCTTGGGAATGTTAATCATTTTAATAGATTATTAAACCTATCCCAGAGAAGCAAGTAATAGAATTTGAACTTGGTGGAGACACCTTAGGTTTCTGATCATGCTGTATACAAGGGTAATAGTGTATTTGAAAAATAACACACTTCTGATTGGCTGAAAACAAGTGCATTCTCAAGTTATAGGATTATAAAGTTGTAACACGAGGGCAAATTACGAAAAGTGCATGCATGCTTTCAAAATTTTTTCTGTTTCAACTTTCTGTAATTTTTTTTCATGTACATGATTAACAAGTAATAAAATGATTTCTCTTGCAGTTTGGTGTAATAAGCACTTGTAAATCTTTCAACAACTACAAATTGCACTTGCCCTATGGGCCTCTACAAAAAAATTCACAAGAGCTTATTCGCACAAAATTGTACTCAAAATCATGTTGTTACCTATAGTAATTTTTTTAGCAATTTTTTAGGATGAGGTGGCACACCAGCAGAAGATGAAGGCTGATAAAAAGGCACTGGAACAAGCAAAGGCTAAAGCAGCTCAGAAAGGACCAATGGGTATGAACAATGCTTAACTCTTGAAACTGTAAGAGTGACTAGTGTCTAGTTTCTTCTTACAACAATTCTGCTAAACCAACATGATTGAGAATATAAGAAAATGTTTGCAACCTAAGAAGCTTTGATTGTGAGACAAATTCTCCCAGTCAGTACCAAAGGGAATGTATAGAGAGGAGTATGGAGAAATTGGATACTGATGTTGGAGTGACAAGGCCTGGGTTAATAAATCCTAAGAGTAATTATCATCTAATTTCTTCCTATAGTAATACTGCCACATATAAATCCTACAGTACAGTCGTGAGAATAAAAGAAAATTATTGCCAACCTAAGAAGCTTTGATTGTTAGATAAATTCTCCTTGTCAGTACCAAAGGGATGTATAGAGAGGAGTATGGAGAAAATCGATACTGATATTAGGATGTTAAGGCTTGGGTTAATAAATCCTAAGAGTGACTATCATCTAACTTCTTGTTACAGTAATACAGCTGAATCATTCTTTAAGATCATGGAAATAACAGAAATGATGGCTTCCCTAAGAATCTTTCATTATGAAATGAATTCTAGCAAGTGAAATAAATCAAAATACAAATTTGTAACAAAAGTTAGTTAAGTTTGTTCTTGCAAAAAATCATCACTTTACATAATACCTTTCTGAAAAAGTTTTGCTTCACAGAGGAAAATGATAACCCTTTGCAATTAAATATTAGTATGCATTTTCTCCACACTGTTGTCAGACATTTCCGAAGGTTCTGTTAAGGAGATTTTGTTGAAAAATCAAGAGCCTCTTGAGTTGAAGATCATTTCCTATATTCCCATGACCTTAACGTTTGACACAGGAGAGATACTTTAAGGAGAAATTGGACTTTAGTCACTTTAAGGGCTGAAATAATTAATAGTTTATTGTGTTTGATACAATCTTTCTTATTTTTCCAGGTGGAAGTGGTATAAAAAAATCTGGAAAGAAATGACATTGGATTATTTATCCTGCACAAAGTCCAAAACAAGGATCTCCCAGTTTTGCAAAGGCCTTGTACAGAACTTGTATATCCTGTAATAGTTTAGGCAATGGCAATCATTTAGTTAGTAACCAAGTTATAGATAAACATGATTTTCATTTCTAAAATGTTTTTTCTTTAATCCTTTATGATAAATACAATGATTATTATTATCATATTTTTATTATTACAATTGTTATTATCTTTTTTATTGATATTATTATTTTGCTGTTTTAAATACTTGAGTGGAGAATTTTTTCCCCTTTTCCCCACAACTTTTGACCTCTAAGATCAAATTATCAATTCTCTGTACTTTCTGCCATATATTTCACACATTTTAGCTCTGGGATTTTGGAGCTAAATCAAACAAATCCCTCAGTTTTCTTTCTCTCTTTTAACACCACTCTTCTGCTTTCAAGTATATCTATTTTGAATGGGGTGGTTCCTTTTTCCTCACTCCTGGAAGTGAAAGGGTGTAGAATCTATCATAAATTTTATTCTTTCTGTTACCTGTGAGACATTTAAAAACTCTTAGGAGATAAGATAGAAAAAGAAAGAAAGAAAGAAAAGCAATGCCTCAACTGAGACCTTGTATCCTTTGCATGAAAATAATTATGAAAAAATTGCATTGTGCTAATCATTGGCTATTAGGCTGCTAAAATCCTACCCCTAAAAAGTTGCTTCATAAAAGATTTTAATTATATCAAAGTGTCTAAAACTCAATGCACAATGCTCAAAAATGCCCAAAAATGTCAATGTTAGGAAATTTATGAACACTTACTTGCTTTAAAAAAAAAAGAACATTTTTCCTACCTAAGTGTGAAAAAAAACTTTAGGTATTACTTAGCGAAAAAGGCAAGACATGCAAAAACACCACTCAACTGTGGCAACCAGGCCGCCCTTGCCTGGCTAACACGTGTTGAAATCACTGCTTAAAGTAAAACATGACACCATTACCCATCTTGTTATCGTTTGATAAGGCATTGATATAACAGGCATAAAGTTTTTTTTTTTTTAAGTTACGGGAAAAAAATAGAATATCTGTCTACCGGGCTTCTTCAGGCATATCAATCGTCAAATGCTTCTCCCTAAAGTCTTAGTAGTCTTTGCAAGTGTTCTTTAGGCGTTGCGTGACATATCCAAGAACAGCAGTGAAAAGAGTTACCATTTCGATCGAGGACTGCTAAGTTTCAAGGTTTTATTCGAGCCTCTTAAACGGTTCTTGCAACAGCAAGAATGGAGAGACGAAACGAGTGAAGCGATGGCTAAATGATAATACAATATAATGCTTTGAACGAATGCGCGCGCATCACTTTCGTGAGAATCACTTCTTGTGCCACCCTGAGCCGACACCCTGCTGCTTGTTTTGTTTATGCACAGAGGACCCGAGTTGGTCATAGTGAAATCGAGCAACCGAAGATGATCTTTTTGATTCCATTTGCTGCAACGTTTGTCCTGGGTAGGTAAAATTCGCTGACCTATAAGCTTACTATAACAAACTAATCAAAGTAATTCTAAATTGATCGCTAGGAGGTTTAGTGCGAGTCGCTTCAACCTTTGCTTGAGATCTAGTGAAATTGAATATGCATGGCCGTATTATGTACGATTCGAGGATTAAATTTCGACCGAGTACAGAACTTTTCCCAATAAACCAGTGTGAAATTCGTGTAAAACTGATTTTAGTACGTATGTCTCCGTTAGTTCTTCGAAGCTGTGTAAACCTTTGGCACTCTCAGCCAATTTCGGAGAGCCCGAAAAACAAAACCACACCAACAAAATTAAGAGCGCTAGCGTTGTCTGTGATATTAGCTCTGTACTTTTCTTTCTCTGTTTTTCAAGGAATGGTTCTCGTCGAATAAAGGAAGTTGTCTGTGATATTTCTTCTGTAGCTTCCTTCCTTTTTGTTTTTCAAAGAATGTTTCTCATCAAAGGAATTTTCATTACCTAAACGAACTTTCATGGATAAGAAAGAGTCAGAAAGAGATGATTTGCATAATTTCCATCACGTTGATTTAATTTTTACTCGAACGTACGCCCATCGGAAAATAAGCTGAAATATCTCTTCTTTCAATTAAGATGATGATTTATCCGTGTTTCTTTAACATCTACAACTTTTGTTTTTTCGTTTCAGTTGAAATTAAATCACATTCATACGCGTTCTGGCTTAAAATCAAGGCTGTGACTGAATGCCTGGCAGCGGGGCACGGTCTCAAATTAAATAGACGAAATTTCCCGTAGTCAAAAATTTTCACGCAACTTCCACCGAAAGGTTCTTTCAAACTTCTTAAGAGTATCAGATGTTTGTTGAGAAATGTCAAGGGATTCAAAAAATTAGTTTGGTTTTTCAGTGAACAACTTCTCCGAGCTTGTAGACACTACAATATCGCGCGACAACCGAGCGATATTGTAGTGTGCACAAGCCTAGAGAGTTTGTCCACTAAAAAACCAATTTAACGTTTGGAATCGCTTGACATTCGTTAACAAACACTTCATATTCTCAAGAAGTTTGAAAGAACCTTCCAACGGAAATTGCGTGAAAATTTTTGACTGTCGGGTATTTGGTCAATTTGAGACCTTGCCCAGCTGCTGGGCATTCGTCACTGCGTAAAAGCAAACCTGTACATTTTGCTTTGATATTTGAATTCAGTAATTACTAAAATCGCTAAATACATTGTGTTTAGAATGTTGGAGTCATTACATTCTTACTCTCTTTGTTTACTCGAAATTTCTCTTTACGTTCAGGCCTTATCTGGGACATAAATTTGACAAGCACGGATACGCATCCAAATTTGTAACCCGCAGCGTGACGATCTGCGTGACGATCTGCATCACGCAATATTTGGATAGAGGATATAAAGAAATTTGTAGCGTTATTATGTCCATTCGAGCACAGTTGATAAAAGCATTAGGATATATTAGATACTAAGAGCGATTTTTTGGGTTTCCCACGATATAGTTTTAGAGAGGATATAAAAAAATTGTAGCGTTATTATGTCCACTCGAGCTCAGTTGATAAAAGCATTAGGATACATTAGATACTAAGAGCGATTTTTTGGGTTTCCCACGATATAGTTTTTGTCCATTTAAATGTTATGTAATTTCATAATCTCGTAACGCTGCTCTTGTGGATTTCAATAGTATTTGTTGTGGGAAATCAGGCAGCGCTTCCGGACGTCGGAAAATGCACATTTATGGAATACTATTGTAAAGCACGTAACTGTGAGACAGACTTCTTTATAGAGCGGCGAAAGGATCCCAAAGGAAGCTGTAGGTAAGTTGTTACTGATTCTTGTCGGCAATAAGGACCACTCCTTTGTGCAACGAATATTATCCGGAGAAGAAAGAACCTTTTTATTTGTCAGAAATGATTAGTGAGATATATTTTCTTTAAAGTGTCATGTGGTAATTGTTAAAATTTAACGATGTAAAAGGAACTATAAAATTGCTGTTTCTTCAGAAATGTACAAAGTTTTAAAACATACATGTTTCGCCTTTGAGCTTTTTGCCATGAGCGCGACCACGGCTAGGCGGGTTACCCCACCTTGAGACGTTTACATGGCAAATTGTCACCCCGGCTGATAGGGTTACCCCACCTGGCAGACCGGGCAACCCACCTAGCCGGGTCATCCCACCTATCATATAAACGTAATCAAGACGGAAATTAGAAATTATATGGACAGGCGGGTTATCCCATTTAGGCGGGTTACCTCACCTACCTGGGGTCCCCCACCTCCATGTAAACAGGCCCTAACTCACGGTTTATTCACTTGATTAAACGATTTTACTACAACGCTTTGGTTAACTCCTACTCACAACTCTCGGCTTATTCGTAGGAAACACACAAAAACGTCCCGTTGTAAGCTCGTGGAACAGTGTCATATATGGGGCGATAAAACACGTGCCGCATACATGTTGGTTTGGTTATGTATGGATTAACGAAATCACTCATAAATGTCAATCAACTTAAGAATAATTAACGTATCATACAGTTTCCAACAAGGGCTGCGCATGTTTCACGCTCATCAAAAAGTAGAAATAACGCGTTACGAAAAAATCAGATAAACAACCTGAAGTTTCTTGTATCGCGAAAAGCATAAAAGTGCCAGTTCACTGGGTTTTAATTTCGTATTTTCTCTGGTCATCAAAAATTAAAAAACAATCAATCCTGTATCGCGTAGTAACCCTCTTTCCTCTCCCTATCATTTGATCGATCAATCAACTACATTATTCATTTATAATGATTGGATAGAAGGAAAAAATTAACAACTAACAATTAAATAATATTATACATTTTATACATTTTAGTGTTCATCACGATGAAATGCTCAATTGTGCCACAAACACTTTGAATTCTTGCTCTGATGCCAACTTGCCATCAAGTGTCCTGAAAGTACAGATTGAACAAAATTTCGGAGTAGATCTCTTGTGCTCTAAAGGCGCTGTAGATACCCCAGCCAACATCTTTGGTAAATTGCTTCCGACTTTGCCATGCTCCGGATCTTTCAACAACGAATCAAGCGCCTGTGTGAAAAACTACCATGAACAATTTATTGCAAATGCATCGGATCCTGCTCTTTGCAAGTAAGTATCAGTTAGTGAGCCATTGTTCCCTCAGAGGGCGAGTCGGGGTGTATTCTCTCATCAAAATAACAGGTATATCCCTGGGATAACTTCATAAACTCCCGTCACCCCCCTTAATCCCCACCTAACGTCATCTCCCCCCCCTCAGCCTTTAGAGATAATGATTTCAACAAGGTCTCAATGGCGTCACTCGTTAGCCCTACAGCGGCAAAACATTTTTAGCTATTAGGAGTAAAAATTGACAGTTAAATTTTAACTGTTAGTCGTAAAAAATGTTAACCTTAAAAGTTTTCCTCTACCACAATGTTATTTTGGTCATTTTGGTTTAACCGTAGCCATAAAATGGCCAAAGTTTTAATTTGTAATAATTTTCTCGAATCATGTTTTTCAAATACTTATTTCAGTCCTGGATTAAAAGGTTATTTTTACAAATGCTGTAAAAATTTCTTTCCTATCAACATGCGAGATAAGCAATCTTAGGAGCCTTGCTAGAAATCTCGTAAGTTTTGCAAAAACTCTAGCAGGGGCCATTTTAGGCTCAAACTACCTGAGCGGAAACAACTTTCTCCACACTGGCGTACATAAAGAACATCTAGGCCAAAAAAAAAAAAGAACTCGCAATCTACTTCACAGGAGTTGGGATTGAAGACTGGACCCTAGAGAAGGGCCTACATTTGGCCAAACTCACTTGAGCCCATGTAAGATTACCCATTTCGTTGAGGACATTTTTTTTCTGAGTTATTTTTATTTGCATAGGGGACAAGCTGATGCAAAGAAATGTCTGAAGAATCTGATGAAGTCTGACTGTAGCTTTCCCTCTCAGATCCAGGAAATCTTTGATCTGAGTCTTAGTGACCACAATCCTTTCTGCACCAACAAGCGGGATCCTGGGGCGACTGGCAATGAAATATGTGATGACGTGGTCGTAAATACTAGAGATTCATCCGCTGGTCGCATAAGTAGCGCATTGAAGGCACTTGTGCTTTCTTTCTTGTTGGCGTTATTCTTGGCGAACATGTAAAACTGAGAGGCAGTTCCGAGATTACTTTATTGCGTTAGCTACAAAGATACTTTTCCAGATAATTTTCCTTACGAAATTCTATCAATTTCTTTGCCGAGCTCAAAACTGACCATCTTTCTTATTTCTATCTCCAAACATTACGCTATCGACATTGCTGATCCTAGCAGTATGCAGGACGCGTTTCATATGAACTTCGTAAAAGACCTCGCTCACCGTGGAGTCTCAGTGGCTCACTGGTGGAGCATCAAAGCGCGGAATCCGAAGGTCTGAGGTTTGATTCCTCATGGGGACTCAGAATTTTTTCTTTGTCCCACACTCGTGGCAAAACGAAAACATCTTTCTGTAGTGTATTTTTATGTTTGGAGCTTATCGTATTGGGTTGCAATTACAACATTTAGATAGCATTGTAGTTTCTCGTTATTTAAAAAACTATAGTGCAGGCTTTGGTTCTCGTCAACTCTTCACCTGTTTTCTTTATGTTCCGATAATTTCCTTATTTTGTTCTGTGATTCGTTTCAAGCTAAAACTCGTCTCGCAAAGCATCATTTTACCAACCAGAAAGCGCAACCAAAACCAACCAACTTTGTTTCCAGGGTCCTCTCTCTTCCTCTTCCCTCGTGGGGGAGGAATGAAGAGGACCCTGGGAGCGAAGTGTATTTTTCCCTCGGAAGAGGAAAAGAGAGTTAGATATTTCATGTAAATTCAAAGGAAGTATACTTCATTTTGTTTAATCAGGTAAAGAGTTTTGTTCTTTTGTGTCACTAAACACTGGCCTCTTTGCGTCAGTATAAATGAATATCGGATACTCCAAGCTTCCCGTTTGCAAACTGAACAATACAATAACTAAGTGATCGGTATTTTTTCCTTTAAATCTGTTTCTAAGTCATAAGAAGTAAGAGAGAGACAAAGTGAGAGGAAAGGTTTTATTTATTGATGTAATACTTGAGTTTTTAGATCGATATTGTGAGCAATGACATGGAATATTAATAATAACAGATTAAGAATATAATAAAGTTTGGAAGAAGCGCATCCTTGTTATTGAGAAGGAATCATTATGAAAAATGGGGGACTGATTTTTCATTCCCTGTTGTAACAACAAATACAATGTCGATACTTGGAGAAAAATTTCCAACAGCTCCTAAAATAAATTTGGTTGTTTGCGAGGGAATAACTCACAGGAAACTCCTTGAAATAAGTAGTATGTTTCGGATAAGTATAAATTTTTTTTTTACTTTATATCAAAAGACAATTAGGCTGAGGCTCAGTTCTTCCTTTCAAACAAAGTTCCTTGCATTTGGATCGGCGTTCTAAATTAACGATGCTTTTTTTGCATTATTTCGCATTTATTTTGGGTAGGTTGAAAGTCTGTAAGTATTTGTAAATTTTGTTGACGTTACTAATTAAATAATTAGTCTTTATTTTTGAGGAGATTTGCATTTGCTGTTAGCTGTTCTAAACATTTCTGTAGGGTTCGAGGTAGAAGCTATTTTTTGTTTCAGAGCTAACAAGTTAAGGGGCTTTTTTCTTTAATGTAGAACAACACCATCTAACACGTCTATTGAACCCTTCTGAAAAGAAGCTTTGCGAAACATTTGTTTCAACCAACATCAGAAATGAAAAAAAGGCAGACAAGCAGAAGGTAGCTGAAGAACCCTTCCTTCCATCGGAGCTTTGTACACCAACTTTCTCAACTGAAATGATCGGAGAGAAAATCCAGAGTTTCGATCCGCGCGCATTTAAAAGCGTCTTTCAGATGTAAAACTCGAGGATAATTTCTCGACTTCTTCACCATTTTCAAAACATTGTTCCGTACATTGTATTAATCATGAATTTCTTAAGGCGAATCTTAAGTTTTTTAATGTTTTCTTGGGCCAAAATTAAACGACGATTCGTTCCTCATTTATGATTATTTTCCAACCTTGCTGCGAAGAGACTTCCGAGTCTGTTTTAGTCTAATGTCACCAAACGTGCGGGGATTTATTTCATATTCAGCGACTTTCCTTTGCAGAGATTACAGCATAGTGACATTTCATTTTCCGGCATTGACACTAAATTTAGCAATGGTTGCGCAAGACCGATTTTTGTTTCCGAAATTCTGAAAGTATATTCACGTCGGCACTTACATGAAAAATTAATAATTTAAATAACTCTATTTAGCTCGCATTGAATTTTGTTAGGATTGCATTTCTTTCCTAAGAGAAGTTTCGATGCTTAATTTATGCAAATTTTTTTTTTTTTTCAAGTATTTTCATCCAGAGTGTTGGACGCGCCTATATATATTAACCAATTCGCTCAAAAACTGAGGTTCTGTAGTCTAAAATAATATTTAGTTTGCATTAGGCAAGAGTTAGTGCGTTGGGTTTGATTCTCTTTTCTTTGTGACTGGTCAAGAAAATTCACGCTACCTAAAGAAAATGATATCATTTCGTTTCGTTCTTTTAACCTGTCACGTTCATCCGTAAAAGCTATCTTTACTCTCTCCGCCATTTCAGCACGATTATTATTATTCTCTTCGCGAACATCAGATCTAGGTAACCTATTCCGGATTTTTTAAAAAGCAAATTTCCGTTTTATGAGAGACTGAAGGATTCAATAAAAAACTTTCAAGGGAAACTGACATATCCTAGGGGCTGGACCAGGAACTACCTCTGTCTTATTAGTTAGTTTAAGAAACGACGTCAGCAACGCCGTGGACAACGTCGGTTAAAAATGAACACCCACGAATCGCGCGACGCTCAACAGTCATTTAGTTTGTTTACTACTGTTAAAAGTATCTCGAAACTGAATTTGGAACACAGCGTTGAATTATAAATGGAAACTTTTAAAAAATTAGCCGTCGTTGTTCACGTTCTCTAGAAAACCCAAAGTTTGGTCATTTCACGTTGTTGTTTTGCAGAGGGACAAAAAAATTTAAAATGAATTATAACGCACGTGTACAATTTTTATGCTCACTAAACCGTTTGTTAAGTGACGTTCCCGTTTCCTATTATTTTTTCTTACCTTACCTTATCAACCAATCAGATGCAAAACTAAAGCTAATAGCCATTTATCACCCCGCAAATCAATTTTTTCTTCGTAAACGGAAGAGTTGTTTACTTAAGTAATTATCACACACGGAAAAATCGCATCAATATCAGTATCCGACGCACCTACCCCTCCCCAAATTGAACTTGACATTAACGCCAACTTGATATCAGTTGACTGTTGTTGGATGTGTAGTCTGCAGTGCAGGCGTCTTATTAGGGCGAGTTAACGTTAAGAAGCTCGCGATCGTTTATTCAACCGGCTGCACTCTTACGGAGTACCTCTGCGATACGCGAAAGTGCATGACACAATTTGTCAAAAACGTTCAAAATGACCCCAAAGGAGACTGTGGGTAAGTTTGTTACATCTAAGATATTTTCTGGGTTTTGGTCATTGCTCAGGTGTAAAATCTTGATAATGCGGTTTCAAGTCGTCCAGACTTTAACTGGAGCGTGGAGGTGCTTGCTTGAAAGGACGAAGAAGAATTTCAGCCCAACAATTTCCTGATGGCGCTGAATTTCTGCGATCGCTTTCTTGTAAAAGACTCGTACATTTATGCCCCGACTTTTTGCTTGAGTTTTTAGAATGTTATTGGCCATTATTATAGATAAAGTTGTCCTGTCTGGGAAGCTCAACGTTTTCGATTTGCCTCAAACACGCACGAGAGGTAGCTTCTATTTTTATTTCTTGCATCAGACAGGCAGAATACAACCTTCAGTTTATGTTTTCGTCGAGAGAAGAAAAGCTGAAATTTTTGAAAATCACCGGAAACGATCAGAGCATAATTGTGTAGATGTTGGTTATCATTTTGTGATTAATTCGCATCTAACGAAGCATTGCGTGACTACAAGAAACTTGTGGTTGGCGGCTTTTAGCAGACAAAGAAAGCAGAATCTTGAAATATTCCTCCCTCAGGGAAAGAAAAGGAATTAAAAACTAGGGCTGGGGGAGTGAAGATCTTTTCGTCCTCCCCCGCCTCCTACCCCCACCGACCATTTTAACTCCAAATGGCTAAAGCTCGGGCAATCCTAGGCCTGAGACGAGTGTTTCCATCTTTTCTACTGCAGAGTTCAGTACAACGAAACCCTAGCTTGCATTATTATGTCGAACAAGATTTGTGGCAGAGAGTATCCAAGCGACTTATTCGACATAACGTTGGATGATTCGTTACGTGCGGGCATCAGCGAGGACTAAATGTGTAACGAGGCCTTTTTGGGTGAATTTCTCGTTCCCATGGATCGACGCAGACTGGACTGGCACTGCTCAAGTGTGTTTGTGAACAACACAGAAGCGTGTTTAAAAACTTTCCATGAGAAGTTTATGGCTGACAGATCGGACGCCACTCTTTGCGAGTAAGTTATAATTTTGCATCGAGTATGTCAATGTTAATATGTAATGTAACGTTTCTCCTTCACAAAAGAGACAGATTGACATTTATCGCAAGGGGTAGGGGGGTAGGAAGATTTTGTTTGTGTCACAATAAGATTTACCTGATCTCCCTGCTGAGGTTTTGTAGTATTATGTTGATCCTCCCTGATTGGTAGTCAAATTTTTAAGCCTCCCCTCCCCCCTGATACTTTTTCAGTGACGACTAATCCCCCTCCGTCCCCCCCTACCTTTTATTTTTATTTTCCTAATTTCAACAGGGAACATGCCAAAGCAAAAAAGTGTTGGATGGAGGCCATTGAGTCCGACTGCAAATCTCCTTCTGATTTCTTTGATATGCTAAAATTTGAATTGGTCGACTACAATCCTTTCTGCGCCAACAATCGGGATCCTGGAGCGACCGGAAATGATCAGTGCCATGGCGTGAGGGACATAAAAAATCCCTTCAATCAAAAAGACAACGTCAGTGCAGCCGCTGGTATAAAGATTAATGCATCGCTGGCTCTGCTTTTTCCCCTTGTGTCATTCTTGTTCGCTCTTAAGGTTTAAGAGAATCAAAAAGATACACTCGGGGGATTTCCAGAATTTTA